CCTGATCCAAAGGGTGGAGGGTGAAAAGCGGATAGCTCCAAAACCTCCGACGTGAACGCAGGGAAGCATTTCGGCATGAAGGCCGGGTTAGGCTTAAGGAAAACCTTATCTCCACTTAGGGAGAATTTGGCGCACGAGGGGTGAACCGAGAGTGCATGTAGCTCACTGACCCGTTTAGCAGATGCCAAGGCCGAGAGCAAAGCTGTCTTGAGGGACAGCAGCTTAAGGGAAATACTCCCCAGAGGCTCAAAAGGATACAGAGACCGCGCTTCCAGCACCATGGAGAGGTCCCACTCTGGGACAGATACAACAGATCTCCTGATGACCAGCAAAGAGCGGCGTGCACCCTCCATAAATCTGCGGGTTAGAGGGTGCTGCCTGACGGTGGAGCCCCAAAACCCACATGACAGGCTGAAATCGCAGCCAGGTAGACCTTAATAGTGGAAAAGGACCTGCCTCTTTCCATGAGGTCTTGCAGGAAACACAAAATATCAGGCACCGAGCACTGATAAGATGTGAAACCACGCCCATCATACCACCCTTCGAACACTTGCCACTTACAGCCATATAGGGATCGCGCGGAAACGGCCCTGGCCTTCTGAGTAGTGGCGATTACACGCGGCGGGAGCCCCAGTGCATTTTGGTTCGTCCTCTCACGGGCCAGGCCCAGAGAGCCACCCTGTCCGGGTGGGGGTGGTAAATCTCCCCGTTGGCTTGGGACAGTATGTCCGTGCGAGGGGGGAGGCGCCATGGCTCGGCGTATAACAGAGGGATTATCTCTGCCAGCCATGGGGCTTTGGGCCACCTGGGTGCTATTAGAGTGAGAGACAGGCCGTGCTCTCTCACCCTGGCCAGAGTGAAAATTATCAGGCACAGGGGAGGAAAAGCATACAACAGCACTTTGGGCCATGGGTGGGCCAGTGCGTCTGCCCCGAGGGGCGCGTCCATGTCCTTCAGCGAGAAGAACATAGGACAATGGTGATTTTCGCGCGAGGCGAAAAGATCTACGGCTGCCTGTCCCATCTCATCCATAACCTCTCCACTATCTGCGGGTGAAGACGCCAATCCCCGTGGATTGGGTTTCCCCTCGATAGCAGATCCGCGCCTCTGTTCCGAATGCCCGGGACATGAGTCACGCGTAATGACAGAAAAACCTGTCTGCTCCACACCAAAAGCCTGTAAGCTAGAGCGTGGAGTTTTGACGAGCGCATGCCACCCTGACGGTTGATATAAGCCACTACCGTGGTATTATCGCACCGTACTAGAACAGGATGTCCCTGCAGGCAAGGCAGAAAATGATTCAGAGCTTTCCAAATAGTAAAAGCTCTAAATAGTTAATGTGCGCTGAACGTAGTCTGCTCAGCCACAGACCGTTCACCGTTCTGCCTTCCTGGGTGGTTCCCCAGCCTGTTAAGGACGCATCTGTCGTCAAAACTTTTCGCATCGTACCGTCCCGAGGGGGGGGGTTCCCCGTGCGTAAAAGTTCTCACTCACCCAAAGGCGCAAGGCCGCCGAGCAGGCGCGCGTCATCGTTACCGAGCGGCAAAGATCGCAAATCGGGCTGAAATGTAGTGTACAAAACCCATTTCGTGAACGTTCTCATTCTCAGGAGACCAATGGCACAACTTGGATAGATGAAGCCATGAGATCCTGCAGCCTGAGGCATGTGCGATATTGTACTCTCGCCCCTTCACTGAACTGAGACAGACAGTCCATCAGCGAGCGAACGCGCTCTTGAGAGAGACGCGCTCGCATGGAGACTGAGTTCAATTCCAAGCCCAGGAAAATGACATTCTGACTGGGAGTCAGATTGTTTTCGCTCGCATTCACCTTGAACCCGAGGGATGTGATGTACGCGAGCACCCGGCCGGTGCCCAGCGACACCTTCTCCTTTGATTTGGCTATGATGAGCCAGTAAGTCAGAATTCTCAGCCCTGATAGTCTCAGGGGCGCCACGCCCACCTCCACACACAGACAGAAAGTTCGGGGACTCAAATTGCACCCGAACGGAAGAACTGTGAATTCGTAACAAACGCCTTGGTAGGCGAAACGAAGATATTTCCTGTGTGGAGGGTAGATGCTTATGTGAAAGAAAGCATCTTTCAGATCGACTGATGTGAACCAGTCGTTCTGCTTTATGGCACAGGCGAGAGAGGCTTGTGTCACATTCTGAAATTGAATTTCCTCAAATGTTTGTTCAACACTCGAAGGTCCAATATAGGGCGGGGGGGCGCCACGCCTTTTGGAACATGAAAATACCAGGAATAAAAACCATGGTTTATCAGATTGGGTGGCACCATCTGAATCGCTCCCTTGTTAGGAGGGAGGAAATTTCCTCTTTCAGAATGTGTGTGGCGTTTTCTTCTGTGTGAGAAGAGAGAACGCCGTTGAAATGCGGAGGTTTTATTGCAAACTGCAGCTTGTAACCCTGGGTTACAGTACGCAAAAACCCACTCGGGCGCTGAAACGGCTTGCCAAGCCGCTTTGTGACTCGCGAGCGCCCCCGCTCGGGCCGGAGCGGAGCTGTATGGGCCCAGCTGGTTCATTTGTGATGCAAAGGCGCCATCTAGTGGGAACACTAGAGGCAACATGCAGGGGTTTGGAGGGATTTCCTCTCTCTGCAGTGAGAAGTTTTCTTTGCGGAGAGAGGTCTCCTCTCCAAAACGAATTAATTTGATTCGTAGCTTTGTGTGTTTTGTGTTGGGCAAACACTGGGGCCAAAGCCTTTATTGACAGAGTGAGGGAAACATAGTGTGGTGTCCACTGTACTGAACTTTCCCTCACAAGGTGTCCCCAAAAGTGGGAAAAACACATATCTCCTGAACACATGAACTGGGCAGTCTCAAGTGCAGGCAGAAAAATAATATCCGCGGAGAGAGATACTCTCTCTGTAACGGATTTATTTAATGCGTTTTTTTTTTTTTTTTTTAAGTGTTATTTAGTTATGTGTGTGTTTTGTGTTGGGGAACACAGGGGCCTTACACACACAACGTCCACTAAAAACACATCGGCTGGACAGCCGCAACTGAGCTGTGTGAGCCCAGTTGGTTGATTTATGAGGCAATGGCGACCTCTTGTGGACGGACTCAGGGCGACATGCATGGGATCAGAGAGATTTGCTCTCTATGTTGCCGCTGGCAGATATATAAATCTGCACGAATTCATTTGATTCGTTTATTAAATGTGTTGTTTAGTAATGTGTGTGTTTGTGTTGGGAAACACTGGGGCCGAAGCCTTTAATAACTGGGTGAGGGGAACCAAGTGCGTGCGGTGTGGTAACACTGCTATGTACTTTTCCTCACGACAGCCCCCTCCCCCGTAACTTGTTGTTGTGGGGGGGAGGGGGACACACACACACAACGTCCACTAACATGCGGGCTGGGCAGCCACGCGAGGGGATTAACCGACCGTAGGTGGGAGACCCTGTTAGTTAACGTTACTCCCAATGGTCGAACAACAGGCAGGCCGCTTGCGTTCGGGACCGCCTTCCTAGGAAGGCATACATTGAAAACCTCAACACGTAATCGTAACAAATCAAGGCCCGTGAGACCGTGTTAACAGTCTAGCGGGACGCTCCGGCCGTTCAGACTGGGCGGTGGTCCCAGCGTTTACCCGTCGTACATATTCCTATCCTGGTCGGTGGCGCTCTGTGGAGCTGGCCACACAATGTTGAAACGAACGGCCGCTCGCTCACAAACTTCCAGGAGGATGGACGGAGGCAAAGCCGCGTGAACGCTAGCCTAGGGAACGCTAAAAGGACCGCGTCATCCCCGTCGCCGGAACCGACCGGTTCGTCAACGAGAGTGAGGTTTTCCCGCGAAGATGTCCTCTTCAGGGAATGCGGATTGGGCTGATGTCAGCTCAAATATTTTAGAGAGGTGGCGCTCCGGGAGTCCCCCGGTAGCGCGTCATCATCACCGTGTCTCTCCTCCGAGTCAGAAAGGCCGAGCACGGCGCGCTGTGTCGTGCAACTAAAAGCCGGCTTGGTAAAAGTTAGCTACATGGGCAGCAATTACAATGACCGCAATTCCCCGGGTTCTCCAAAGCTTGAGCGTGTTAAGCCCAAGCAGACCGCGCAGAACGAGAGGGTCCTTATAGCGGCGTTGAGAGCACCACACGCGGCCGGGCAGGCTCGTCGTGCTAGGCTGTTCCCCGGGGGAAGCGGCTGTTTAGACGGTCACATAGCCATGGGCGGGCCAGCGGTGAAGAACTCGGAAAAATCCGTGGCGGGCAGCCATGTAAAGGAGGAGCAGGTGAAGGACAGCGAGAGCTCGGGCGGCTCCGGATGCAAAAAACACAGCGGATAGGCTGAAGAAACGACTGTCACTCACGTCTGGCGGAGGCTGATCTGGCGATATGTCCTCCTGAAGACTCGAAAGTGAGCAGCGTAACGTTAATCCAACCGAACTGTGTCAATGCAGAGATCGCGAGAAGCGAATGTCAACTGAGGAATAGCAGCGCGCCCAGCTGTGATATGCCCGTAGGTAAGGGGGTGTGGCCTCACCTGGCATTGGCTGCGCGCTTCTGTCTGTTAGCCAGACTTGGTGCAATTGGATGCTTCTGCAGAGGTCAGGTACGGATGCCCTTCCCATAGGTGGATCTCGAAACGAGATGATGAAAGAGAACTACCTATCCCTTACTGAGCATGAAGCAGCAGTGCAGCCAGCCGTGCGAACCGAGTGTTCTATGTGTGTGCGCTAAACTGTGGCGCTGTTACAAAATAGCCTAAATTAAAGCATTTAAAGTTGGGGATAAACCATAGGCTAATTATATTTAGAATGCAGTAATATATAACTGCTTATAAAGGAATAAATATCAAGGAGTAAATCATTGAAAATTTCTTTCTATTGGTAAAAAAAAAAAATGCAACTGGTCAACCAATAAGAATGTCAGTCGACCAAGACGGCATCGACTAAATTTGACAGCCCTAGCTACTGGAATAAAGAGTCTCTTATTTTCTTCATTCTCTCTCTCTCTCTCTCTCTCTCTCTCTGCTAATGTAGGTTAAGCTGGTGTTATATGACAGATGAAGGTTGTTCTGATGTGACTTCAGCTCTGAAATCAAACCCGTCACACCTGAGAGAGCTGGACCTGAGCTGGAATAAACTAGGAGACTCTGGAGTGAAAAACCTCAGTGATCTACTGATGAACCCACAATTCAAGCTGGAGAAACTACAGTTAGTGTCATTATACTGTACAGCAATTACAGTGTGTCTGAAGTTTATTTATTTGAAGACAGCAGGGCTTATGTTTCATTGGTTATAGCAGTGCACTTTCTGGGTTTCCCTATTGCTCACATTTTTATGTGTTTTTTTATCTAGATAGTAATTGTTTAATTCCCAACATCTGATACAATGTACTGATTGTGTACATGCAGAAATGTGCCTTTTCTACAGAGAATAAATAAGAGATAAGTCTTTTTAAAAATGAAAGAGAAGAAACAGTGTCTTCCAGCGCACAGAACTAGTGTGACTGGGTTTTAAAACAGACTATTGAAAACGTCTCAGGTTACGACTGTAACCGTAGTTCCCTGAGAAAGGGAACGAGACGATGCGTCACTTGACGCCTTGGGAACGCCCCCAGCGTGCATGCGTCTGAGCATCAATGTCAACTAGTCCAATGGAAAGAATGAGCGTCACGGGCGGGTGACGTCATGACCAGGAAGGGATAAAGGCTCACCCGGTGAAACGCGGCATTAGCTTCAAAAAGTCGAAGCAAGCCGATCACAGGGAAGCAGGAAGTATGGCAGGGTGACGCATCGTCTCGTTCCCTTTCTCAGGGAACTACGGTTACAGTCGTAACCTGAGACGTTCCCTTTCGAGGGAACTCTCGATGCGTCACTTGACGCCTTGGGAACGAGAATACCCAAAACGCCAGAATTCCAAGTACCTGAGTGTCAGTCTGTTGAAACTAAGCACTAAGCACCTGAGAACCTGGGGCAGCATCCAGGTCTAAGCTGTAAAACCTAACGAATGTGAGCGGTGAGGACCAGCCTGCCGCATCACAAACGTCTTGAAGAGAAACTCCAAATAGTAAGGCTTTAGAGGCCGCCATACCCCTCGTAGAATGAGCTCTGACCGCCAAAGGACACGGCAGGTCAGAGTACTCGTATGCAAGTGAAATAGCCTCAACTATCCACTTACTAACCGTCTGTTTAGAAGCAGGAAGACCCTTCTTAGGTGATCCAAAGCAAATAAATAACTGGTCGGACTTCCTCATTGACGATGTCCGATGAACATAAGTATCCAGTGCTCGCACTGGACACAAGAGGTTCAGCCTTTCCTGGTCCGCAGATGTAAAAGGAGGAGGACAGAAAGCCTGCAGCACAATAGGCCTCGGAGTCAAGGTCGGCACCTTAGGGACGTATCCCTGTTTTGGATATAAGAATGCCTTGACCATCCCCGGTGCAAACTCAAGGCAAGTGGGGGAAACCGAAAGGGCCTGAAGGTCTCCAACTCTCTTAAGGGACGAAATAGCTAGCAGAAAAATAGTCTTAAAGGTAAGAAACTTCTCTGAAACCGAATCTAAGGGCTCGAATGGAGCCCTAGACAGGCCTTCTAGTACTAAAGCAAGATCCCAAGCTGGCACCCTAGTGCGAGTTGCAGGCCTTAGCCTCAAAGTGCCACGAAGGAAACGTGTAATCAGGGGGTCTCGACCCAACGATGTACCCCCCACCAGGGCGTGGTAAGCCGCAATGGCCGCCACGTAGACCTTGAGCGTGGAAGGACATAGACCTGACGTAAAGCGCTCCTGCAGGAACTCGAGTACTGTGTTCACAGAACAGTTAACTGGATCCCACTGATGTCGGTGACACCATACAGAAAAAACTCTCCATTTAAGCGCATATAGTTTCCTAGTAGCTGGAGCTCTGGAGCTTAGAATGGTCTCAGCAGCCTCAGCTGAGAGACCACTCTCTATGAGTTGGGCCCCCTCAGAGGCCAAACCCACAGGTTCCAAATTTCTGGTCGAGGGTGAAATATTGTGCCCCCGGCCTGAGACAGAAGGTCTCTCCTGATCGGGATCTCCAAGGGAGGACCGTCTAAGAGATGGATCAGGTCCGCAAACCAGATCCGACTCGGCCAGCGTGGTGCTACTAGCAGTAGGCTTATTCCGTACTGGCGGACTCGTTCCAGAACTCCTGGGAGCAGAGCAACAGGGGGAAATGCGTACAGACGTAGCCTCGGCCACGTCTGCACCATAGCATCCAGCCCCAGGGGGGCTGGGTGAGTAAGGGAGAACCAAAGTGGACAGTGCGTCGTATGCTGAGACGCAAACAGATCCACCTCTGCTTGGCCGTAAAACTCCCAAATTTTCTCCACCGCCTCGGGGTGGAGTCTCCAGTCCCCTGGCCTCAGCTCCTGCCTCGACAGGATGTCTGCCCCAATATTCTGGTCCCCAGGAATATACACTGCCCTCAGGGAGAGTACCTTCCCCAGAGACCACAGGAGGATCTGGTGCGCCAGCTTGCAAAGCGGACGCGACCGCAGACCCCCCTGACGGTTCAGATAAGAGACCACCGATGTGTTGTCTGTACGGACGAGCACATGATGGCCCCTCAGGTCTGGGAGGAATTGCTTCAACGCATTGAAGACGGCCATCATCTCCAGGCAATTTATGTGCCAAGAAAGATGATGACTCCTCCACCGACCCTGAACCGAGCGGCCTTCCATTACCGCTCCCCAGCCGGTGAGGGAAGCATCTGTCGAGATCGTAACTCGATGGCAGAGAGCTCCCAACACCGGACCCTGGGTTAAGAACCAATGTTTTCTCCATATAACCAAGGCACGAAGGCATCGCCGCGTGATCTTGATCATACGAAGTGGGTTTCCCCTCGGGGAGAACCCTCTGGTCCTGAGCCACCACTGCAAAGGTCTCATGTACAGCAGGCCAAAAGGAATCACGTTGGACGCTGCCGCCAAAAGACCCAACAGTCTCTCGAACTGTTTTACAGTGCGTGACTGGCCTAGCTTTAGCTCTTTGGTGGCTGTCAGGATAGCAGCTACACGAACGGGCGATAGAGTGGCCCGCATCGTCACTGAATCCCATACCACACCAAGGAAAGTGGTTCTCTGTACTGGAGAAAGCACACTTTTCTTGGCATTGAGCCTCAACCCCAACATCTGCATATGAGCGAGAACGACACCTCGGTGCCGAACCGCCAACTGCTCTGATTCCGCTAGAATCAGCCAGTCGTCGATGTAGTTCAGAATACGTATGCCCTGAAGCCTGAGAGGGGCTAGAGCTGCATCCACGCATTTCGTGAACGTGCGGGGTGATAAAGCTAGACCGAAAGGAAGAACCCGATATTGGTATTCTTTGCCCCCGAAAGAAAACCTTAGGAACTTCCTGTGCTGAGGGAGGATGGAGACATGGAAGTAAGCGTCCTTCAGATCTATCGTGACAAACCAGTCCTCGGATCTGATTTGAGTCACGATCTGCTTGAGTGTCAGCATCTTGAACTTGAGTTTCTGTACTGAACGATTTAACAGACGAAGATCTAAAATGGGACGCAACCCTCCATCCTTTTTTGGAACAATGAAATAACGGCTGTAAAAACCCGACTCTCTGTCGGGTGAGTACACCTGTTCTATAGCTTCCTTTGCTAACAGGGCCTTTACCTCTTGCTCCATTACCAGAGCCTGCTCGGGATGCACCACTGTGGGCACCGCCCCGTTGTAACGAGGAGGACGAGAACCAAACTGGATTCTGTATCCTTTCTCTACAATCTGCAGGACCCAACGAGAAATATTCGGCAGAAGCTTCCACGCTGCCAGAAAATTTACTAAGGGAACCAGCCTCTCGAGGCTGGTCTCTGGTGTTATCGAGACGGCTAATTCCGGAGCCTGAAACATAATGGCAGGAACTACCTGAACTGGCCGCTCTAAGGCCCCCCTCAGAGGGCGCGAAACCGATGCTGTGCCGCAGCATAGCATCAGCGACTCGCTGGAGACCGCTGCGCCCTGAAGCACCGAGGGTGGCAGGGTTGGCAGAACGGTCTCGTGAGGACCCCGAAATGGAACGGGCACCGTATAATGAGGTGTACACCGCTCCACTTCGGTCGGGGCTGTCCTCACAGGCCTGATGCATGAACATCAGGACCTTTTTTTTTTAACCGAAGCCTTCTTCGCCTGAAGAACGGTCCTCAGATCCGGCTTCGACTTAGAAGACTTCGGTTGAGAGGGTTGCGTCCGTCTCCAGTCTCTACGTGGAGGTGCACGAGACGCAACACTCTCTTTCTGATGCACACGATATGATGAGCTCGACGGCTGGGGCTGCTCACGCCCAGCAGCCCCAGGGGGCTGGACCCGGCGAGGGATAAACTTTTTAAAAACGTCAGCTTGTTTCTTTGACTCCTGAAATCTCTCGACGACCGCGTGGACTGCGTCGCCGAAGAGACCAGAAGGTTCAAGCGGAGCATCTAATAAAAAAGCTCGATCTTTTTCTTTAATTTCAGACAGATTTAACCATAAATGTCTCTCAGTAGCTACCAAGGCTGCCATAGACCGCTCAATTGCTCTGGCGGTCTCCTTAGTAGCCCTGAGAGAAAGATCGGTAGCCCGACGAAGTTCACGAATATCGTCATGACTGACTCCCTCACTACTATCCAGATCCCCCAGCAGGTCAGCTTGATAAGCCTGGAGCTCTGCCATAGTATGCAGACATGCTCCAGCTTGACCTGCTGCCGTATAAGCTTTACCCACTAACACCGAAGTGGCTTTGAGCGGTCTAGTGGGCAAAGCCGAGGCTTTCAGAGACGATGCGGGACCAGGGGAAAGATAACTGGCTAAATTCTCTTCCGCCTGGGGCATCGCCTCATAACCATACTCTTTCAGCCCTCTTATTCTCGAATAAGTGTTAACTTGAGGGCTGAAAAGACGTGATGAGTAAGGTTTATTCCACGATTTAGATATTTCATTGTGCAAATCGGGAAAAAATGGAAGCCCTCGTGGTGGAGATAATGTGGTGGAAGATAAAAAGCGCTCATCTAATTTGCTTTTAGGACGAGCGCCCTTCTTCTCAGATGGCCATTCAATATTTAATTTCTCTACAGCCCGCGACATAACATCCACCAGCTCATCATATGCTGGGGAAATAAATTGTGAATCTCTTTCCCCCATGTGTGTGCTTTCACTCTCCAAACTCATCGCATCAACCTCCTCGGAGGAAGAGCAATAAAGTAATGGAGGGCTCTCTCCCCGGGCGGAAGAAACCGCAGAGCGTGCTTCCGACACCGGGGGGAGAGCGTTGGATCTCTCGGGTAAGGAAGGAGAAAGAGCCCTCGGACCCGTCTCCAACCCCTCCGAAAGTTCCTTTTGCGATCCCCAGGAATGCAATCTCCGCGCTGCCTCAGCAGCGCGGAGCATCTAATAAAATCAGGACCCGCAGGGTCCTGATCCCTGCGGATCGCGAGCCTGCCCACTCTCTTTATCAAAGAGTGACAGGCGAGAGCGGAGCATGCGAAGCGGTAACATCTCACAATGCTGGCACTCAGCCCCCTCGAAGGCTGAGACCGCATGCTCCACTCCCAAACAAACGACACAAAGCTCGTGTGTGTCCCCACCCGTTAAATAACGCGGGCAGGGAGAAGCACACTGTTTGTACACTTGTTTAGTTTCCATCCTTTTCCGCAACAGACAACAGTAAATAGACAGAGACAAAATGACACAGATCGCTTTTGCTGAGACACAGAAGCTAATGCCGCGTTTCACCGGGTGAGCCTTTATCCCTTCCTGGTCATGACGTCACCCGCCCGTGACGCTCATTCTTTCCATTGGACTAGTTGACATTGATGCTCAGACGCATGCACGCTGGGGGCGTTCCCAAGGCGTCAAGTGACGCATCGAGAGTTCCCTCGAAAGGGAACTAAATGCTGCTGTAGCTCTTCAATAAGATGATCATCATAGATGTGAACTATTGTTATTTCTCTGTCTTCAGTCTGAATGGATGCCGTATTACAGAGAAACAGAGTCTCATCCTGACTTTAGCTCTGAAATCAAACCCGTCACACCTGAGAGAGCTGGACCTGACCGGGAATAATCTAGGAAACACAGGAGTGAAGCGCTTATGTGCCGTACTGAAGGATTCACACTGTAAACTGGAGAGATTGAGGTCAGTCACATTCACATACAAGAATCAAAATGCTTAAAATCACTTCAACTGTTTAAACTAGAACACATTAACATTATATTTGTACAAACATTTTCACCTTAGTATTTTGTGATCTGATGAAATAAAGATGAAGATCTCTCTTCCTCTGTCTGTTTTATTTGCTGATGAAGATGATGTGACTTTACAGAATAAAGAGTCTCTTATTTTCTTCATTTTCTCTCTCTCTCTCTCTCTCTCTCTCTCTCTCTCTCTCTCTCTCTCTCTCTCTCTCTCTCTCTCTCTCTCTCTCTCTCTCTCTCTCTCTCTCTCTCTCTCTCTCTCTCTCTCTCTCTCTCTCTCTCTCTCTCTCTCTCTCTGCTAATGTAGGTTAAGATGCTGTGATATGACAGATGAAGGTTGTTCTGATGTGACTTCAGCTCTGAAATCAAACCCGTCACACCTGAGAGAGCTGGACCTGAGCAGGAATAAACTAGGAGACTCTGGAGTGAAAAACCTCAGTGATCTACTGATGAACCCACAATTCAAGCTGGAGAAACTACAGTTAGTGTCATTATACTGTACAGCAATTACAGTGTGACTGAAGTTTATTTATTTGAAGACAGCAGGGCTTATGTTTCATTGGTTATAGCAGTGCACTTTCTGGGTTTTTAAACTAAAACACTTTATTCTCAATATCTGACAGTGAGTCTGAGTTCACATTATATTTGTGTAAAATTCTTCACATTCATGATTTGTTTGTAAGATAATCTGTTTTCCTCTGTTTGTGTCTCTCTAGTCTATATGGCTGTGGCATTACAGATGTTTCTTCTTTAACTCAGTCTTTGACTAACTCAAAAGCACTGCAGTTTTTAAAAGAGCTTGATCTGAGTTACAATAAGATAGGAGACTCAAAGCAGCGGCTCAGAGACGAGCTACGAGACTCAAACTGTGACCTGAGGTGAGGAAACATCACTGAGATATTAAAGAGATCTTCATTTACCTCTGATATGTGAACAAACCTTTCAAACATTCCTGAAAGGAAATTATCATTAAGCTTTATTGCAACAAAGGGTTTGTGTGAGAACATAATGTGAAGTTATTGAAATGTTTAACACTAAGGAGGAAAGAGAAGAAAAGCTCACTGTCACAGCTTTATACATCAACACCTGCTTTATGAACTGTGTCAGTAGAAGTGAATCATTTCAGTGTGAAAACAGACTTGGTCAGATTGTAGGAAACGCTGCACTCCTGCTAAAATCAGTGCAGTTCCAGCTTCAGCTCACAGCGTCCAGCTCACATGAGCAATGTCTCTGTCTCTAGTGTGTTTTACTGTGACAAGCAACACGTCACACTACTCTACACTTACTTTACTCTCAGTTATTTACTAAGAGCCTACAAACATGTTTAAACTAGAGGACAAACGGCTTTAACTAAAGGTTTGTGTTTAACTCAAAATAACATTAGTATTTGCTCCCTGTGGTTTATTCCATACGCCGTACACTCATTAGTTTCTCCTTTACAGAGACTCAATAGGAGTCGCACCGACACACACACACACACACACGAACATGATTCAGGCTTTACATCTATTATATTTAAAAACACAAATATCTATGCAAGATCATGTAAAGTCGGTTATTAATCTGATTACAGGAATTTAATGTAACTTATTTTTACACAAAAACAGTCATTTAAATATTATAATTTGCACTTTGTTCCACCGAAAGCTGATTGTTTTCTCTTCTGTTCCACTTTACAGAGTAGATTACAGTATATGAATGTAGATGAAGATCGATCACCAAACGTCAGTGGATTTACATCAAGGTTTAAATCTGTGAAACGGAGATGAGAGGAGCAGAAACCATCAGGTGATCCACAGAAGAGTCTCACTGCTGTCTATGAGGAGAAATACATGTGTAAATGTGTTTCATACAGGTGGAAGAGACTCAGACTTCACTATTAAATAAAGCATGCGTATTAGAAACATGTGATATTGAATGATTAATGTTGGTTTATTATTCAGCCAAATGATGGTTTAGTTGTAATTAAAGGTGGAACAGAGGAAGAAGCTCAGATGAGTGTCAGCAGAAATCTTCACTATCAGGCCTGCAAATATAATAATGTTTAGACTAAACTCATCCATAATGATATTTCTAATCATGAACGTGATTGTCAAGTATAGCACATAAATGTTTCAAAAGATATAAAGTTTACATGTAACTTTTAAACATTTACATTATCTCTAACATTTTATACACAGAATATGTTTATTGTTATAGTTTTATTGTATATGAAGTGTGTGTGTGTGTGTGTGTGTGTGTGTGTGTGTGTGTGTGTGTGTGTGTGTGTGTGTGTGTGTGTTGCTGATGCACAGATGTACAGTATATTGTCTCTGTTCTGTGGATGAAGTCTCTTCTCCTCTACAGACCGACTAAACATTTTCCCCAGTGAACAGCATTTGTGTCTTTCACTCAGAGATGGGCATAAATAAAATACAAAATACTGTGTGGAAAAATGTATTTAAATACAAATACAGTATTTTGTATTTTGAAAATACACAAAATACATGTGAAATAGGCCATCCAGTGCAGGTATACTGTGTCACAGTGAATGAAGAAACTACATAGGCCTATTGCTGGCCATTACAAATAAACTTGTGCAAATAGCAGCCATTTATATACTTATTTCTGACCAGGTTACAATGTAGTCGATTACTTGTGGTGAACACTATTAAAAAATTCATACTGTATGTGAAACTGTGGGAACCTTTTCTGCTATCTAGCAAAGAATATGACCCAAAATCTTAATTTTACTTCCCAGTAACCACATATATCATAGTTTCACAATTTTCAATATCAGTTTTGATACAACAGCAAAAACTGAATTTCAAACTCTGTTGAGGCTTTTTTTGTTGCGGGTAGTCCAATGCTAGCAATACCCTCATGTCACGATTCGATACATATCACGATACTGAACTCAAGATACGATATTATTGCTATACTCCAAGACATATGATAAAAGGTTAGCACAAAATATACTGTTGATTAAAATGCTAAATTTGATATTACATTGTGTGTGTAAATGAACAGGCTTGGACTCAGTGCTGAAACCCAAAGCACAGGACAATAGAGACACCAGAATAACAATATTTATGATTCTGAAGCTGAAAATACAGAATTATTTAAGATGAATATGCTTGATCTCTTTTACTGACTAGATATATTTAAAATAATGTAGGCCACATACTGTACTGTTAACATCAGAAATTTGGCATTATCAGGACCCACAAATATTCCCCCATTGCATTATTATTATATTCAAAATTATACAGTAGTTTAATGTAGTACTGACACTAAAACTCTGAAAACGTGAATTTTTTCTCACACAGTATTTTTTATTTTTGGTGAATTATCCACGACGATACATATTGTTGCATTTTTGTATTGCGATATATTGTGACACGATATTGTTACACCCCTATTTTTAAGTATAGTAATTTTATATTTATTTTATGTAAAGTTTATTTGTTTCTATAAGTTCATTAAAATTATAAAGTTTATCTAAAATATTAAATTAGAAATCATTTGACACTATTTACCCAAAGTTTTTTTTTTTTTCAATGAACAATAAAACTAAAAGCTGAAGATTGTTGTGGTGTATCATTCATCAGTGCTTCTTTTCCCACTCCAACATTCAACTGAACTAGTGTTTCACTCGCTCCTCAGAGAGCAGACGGATGTGGGCCACTTCAGGCGATGATGCGGCACTGCAGGCCTTCTTATGGCCCCGACAAAATGTGTGTGAGCCTGAAGTGGCCCACGTGTAAAATGGCAAATATGGCCCCAGGGCCGGCCCTCCCTATACGCGAACTAAGCGGCTGCTTAGGGCCCCGCCGCCACCAGGGGCTCCAAACTATGGTCCGACCATAGACCCTGATCATAGACCCCATAGACCTGTAACTCGACGTACATTCGCATCACATGTTAACGCAACGGTAGAGTTACTCACGGGACACTGCACACTCATCCATAATTATAAAAATATTTCTAATCATGAACAAGTATATCAAGTATAGTACATAAATGTTTCAAAATATATAAAGTTTACATGTAACTTTTAAACATTTACATTATCTCTAACATTTTATACACAGAATATGTTTATTGTTTTATTGTATATAAAGTTAGTTGTGTGTGTGTGTGTGTGTGTGTGTGTGTGTGTGTCTGTGTCTGTGTCTGTGTCTGTGTCTGTGTCTGTGTGTGTGTGTGTGCGTGTGCGTGTGCGTGTGCGTGTGCGCGTGCGCGTGTGTGTGTGTGTGTGTGTGTGTCTGTGTCTGTGTCTGTGTGTGTGTGTGTGCGTGCGTGCGTGTGTGTGTGTGTGTGTGTGTGTGTGTGTGTGTTGCTGATGCACAGATGTACAGTATATTGTCTCTGTTCTGTGGATGACGTCTCTTCTCCTCTACAGACCGACTAAACATTTTCCCCAGTGAACAGCATTTGTGTGTGTTTCACTCGCTCCTCAGAGAGCAGACGGATGTGGGCCACTCAGTGGCGGTTCTACATTGAATTACACCCAGGGCGAGACCCCCTTCGATAATGTCTCATGACTCTCATATTAACAACTATCCAAACTGTTTAAGACCAAAATAGCTTTTGTAGGCCTATGTCATTTTTTTTTATAGAAAATTGTACTTTGCATATTATAGGCTACTGTAAAAACACATATTATAGTTGATTTTAGTTGATCATAACTAGAGATGAAATGGTATGAAAATTTAATTTCATGTATATAGTGACCAAAATGATCACGGTTAAACACAGAATCTTGTTCAAAAAGTAGGCCTACTAATACACAATGAAATCAAATCACCAAGTTAATAACATTAAAGATGATGGCCAGATTTTAAAGGAGTCTTTTATGTTATCTACTAACATACACGTTCAAATAAAGTTTTGACAAAAAAGGCTTTATAAAAAGATAAACCCGGTTCCCGGTTCGCCCGTGCCTAAAACCGCTACTGGGGCCACTTCAGGCGATGATGCGGCACTGCAGGCCTTCTTATGGCCCCGACAAAATGTGTGTGAGCCTGAAGTGGCCCACATGTAAAATGGCAAATATGGCCCAAATATTTTAAACCACATGTGGGCCTTTTTAGGCAAAGATGCGGCACTCATGGCAATGTGTAATCTGAATGTGGGCCTAAAGTGGCCCATATGATAAATAATGAATATGGCCCAAATATCAAAAACCAAATGTGGGCCACCTATGGCAAAAATGTGGCACAATCGACAATGACTAATCTGGGTGTAAACCAAATATGGCCCACATATGTTGCAGCAAATGTGACCCAGTTATCTTACAACAAATCAGGGCCAGTTTTGGCAAAGATGAGGGACAGTAATCACTGTGAATCTGAATGTGAACCTAAAGTGACCCACACATGACAGAGCAAATATGGCCCGATTACATTGCTGTGGCGAGCAATTAGCACTTACTAATCTAAATAAATAAAAATGTATACAAAAATGTGATGATGTCCGACTCGTTTTATGAAGAAGAAAGCCTTAAGTTTTTAAAAGCATTAGACATATATGACCCATTATTCTGCTTCAAGTAGCCTACCATGTTGACAATAT